TTCTTCTTCAACCGTTGTTTCTTCGCATTCCTATTCTTCCTATCGGTGTTGCTCCTACTCGGACCTAAGCTATTTAGAAAGGGGGGCGAGGTTTTAATAGAGAATCGTTCACGGTCCAATAAGTCACCCACAGACGGATTCGCTACTGGTATAGCAACATAATTTCCCGTACCGCATCTGCGTAGCCACCTATATAGCCTATGACTCCTAAGATTAGTGCCCTTCCCTTCGTACAATGCCCGCTGAACATGTTCCCTGCATCGTACACCCAAGGATCTTGCCGAACAACCAACATAAACGTGTTTTGCCCAAGGAGAAACAAGAATATATACCACAAGACCAGGACAAGAATCAAATTCAAACCACTGCTAGCCAAAGAAAGAATATGCAACACGAATTCAGTAGCCCACGGAAGTGTCGATGACAGACTTAGCAAAATGACATAGAAATGAAGCAGTTTGTTAAGACTCCCATTGCATAACTCACCAATAGTCTTCCTCCTATCGCAGATGTTAGAAACAGACGAATAAATAGCACCAGTTTTGGTACCGATTCTACGAAGATTGGCTGATGCATCCTAGGAGTTGTCAGCCAGATCTGCTGATGCACCTTCGTCCGGTTCCTCCTCATCTCGTTTGTCTTCTTCATGTTCCAACAGGTGTCGATTAGTGGGCCTGTCGAATGCCCTCGCAGTATATATTTCCGCCAGATGGTCGGCAGTCTTCTTAACTCTTCCATAGTCGATCTCCCCATCTTTGCAAAGCACTTCGAGCTGCGACTTCCTAGGTCTGTGAACACTCTTCCGTGAAAAGCCTCTCTGTCCTCACCCACCTTCTGAATGAAAGTCACCTCCACCTGGTCACCTGTGATACGTTCTTTTGGACTATTTCTTCTTGCAAACAGTTTGCGGTGTGAGCTTAACGGTGGCGTAATCTTGATACGGTTGATACGCTCTTTCACCACCAACACCTCACACTCAGCCATATTTTTCTCATCCCGCACTTTCCGATATGCCTCGGCCAATTTCGCCCAATCCACCGGTGTCTGACCATCCATCGTTGCTTTGCTCTTCCCTTTGGCAGGTTCTTCAGAGGGACTCTTCTCGATAACTGCATCCGACCCCCTTGTTGCCATGCTTGAGGTTCTCCACTTCGTCGCGCAAAGTCAGGACATTGTGAATTAACGCCTGATTATATGCTTTGAGTGAGTTCAGCTCTTTGCTGACTCTGCCCATGGCGATTCTCACCAAGTTCTCATTTTCCTTCCTCAGGCGCTTGTTGATTTTCTCTCTTGCAGCCGCATCCTCCTTGTACCACCTGCTTTCTTGGTCTCTTCTTCGAGCTGCATCGCTCGACACCGTCTTCGCATCCCGACTAGAACTTGCCTTCTTTCCCATCACCTCAGCGCAGACTTCCTTCATATTCTCTTTGCCCAACATCCCAATTGACTTTTCCAAATCCTCCCGCTCCTTCTTGACTTTTGCTCTTTCGTCCTCCGCTTCTTGTGCTTTCTTCTTTTCTTCTTCTTCCCTCTGCTTCCTCTTCTTCTCCTTCCTTTCCTTGTCTCTCGTCGCCATCTCCTCGCAGTACCATTATCAAACTTCTCTTGCTTTTCTCTCTCGTGGTTGTCTGTCCACCAATTGTTCCTCGAACTTTGTTGATACCCTCCTCTGTCGTAACTGCGTTTGTAGCCTCCGTTGTAACTCTGGTTGTTGTAACCCCCATTGTAACCTTCACTGGATCCTCCATGATTCGAATTGGATCCACCTCCATCACCCTGACCTCCAGTACCTGCTGGAGCTTGGTACGGCACGTTCGCGTTCAGAGCAGGTAGTAAACCATGTTATGATCCTGGCCAATTTCGAGATACACATCCATCAGAAAGTACAATGACGTCCAATTGCAGAAGGAAATGAATGAACTTGAGAGGAGAGAGAGAGGATTAGAAGTAAGAAAGAAGAAGAAGATGATGTACAACAGCAAAGACAAATGACAAGGCTCTTCTTCTTCGCCCAACAACTCCTCCTCCTTATCTCCCCCTTCTCTTATTCATACAAGAAATAATAATACAATGTTGAATGGCTGATCCAGAATCAAAGTTTGAGTTCCTCTTCTACTGCAGGTATCACTTGAGGTCCACCATAGCCATGGCCGCCTCTCCCACTCTTCACTCTCATAGGCCGAGGCTACGGCGGACTACTAGGCCTTGCCCAGATGCCCAAAGGACAACCCAAAGCAGCTATGGCTGCTCTAGCTCAGGCCGCCATGCCCAACCCTGCCTTGAAGCTTCTTGGTGTGGCTCCTCCCCAGTTGGGGACTCCCTGCTGCAGCGCCCACCAAGGTGATGAAGATGGCTGCCACCATAGCCAGGTAAGTACCCCTGGCGCTCCTCCCCCTTCCTTCCTTCTTCCTCCCTCGTGTCCTTCTCCTTCCTCCCCAGCAGCGCTGCTCCAGCATAGCGCTGCTCCAGCTAGCGCTCCACCAGTGTGTCGCCAAACTTGCACACCAAAAAAGAGGCCGGGCTCTCCGCCCGGCCTGAAGATATAGCGGCCTGCTTTGCCTCTTGGGCGGTGACTTCCAGGCCGCTTGGCCTCCCAAGCAACCGGTACCTCCTCCTTTTTTGGAGGGAAACATCATTGCAGACTCTGATATTGCCCGTACAGGCCCTAGACTCAGACTGGTATCCGCCTAGACCTAGCCTACACTACTGGGCCTCTAAAAATGTCACTTTTTTCTTCTTCTGCTCGGCCTCCGGTACCTGCACATCTACCCCTTCCAGGTGCGGTACCGGTCTACCCGCTACTTGAGTGCTTTTCCCCGCTGCAACCCCTCAATGTCACGGCCACAGGTAAGTACCGGCCCTGAGGGCCCAACGAACGAGCAAGTGCCCTGATGGGCCACACACATACTCATGCCAACCAGCACTCGGACAGGCACCGTCACACACACACCCAAGCCAGCCAACACTCAGACAGGCATGGTCACACACACACTCGAGCCAACCAGCACCCAGACAGACATGCAGTCCAGCAAGCGTGCACACACAGACTTAGTAGCAGGCGGGAAACTCAGCAAGGCATTCAGTCTATGAGCAAAACTCAGAAATCAGCTGTGTGCTTCAGTCCATGTTTGGACGGGTCATCACAAACCATCATTTTCCTGCGACGATGAGGCTCAGTTGTTATCTCCTCCTGACCCGCCTAACAGGGCGGCCACATTCGGGATCTGCCGCAATTGACATTCCCTAACGAAATGGCTGGGTTGCCGGCAGTGGTGGCACACCCATGATCTTCCATAATTCATCGTGGCGATGAGCAGAGGAGAATAGGAGGAGGAGGGAGGTAGATAAGGAAATTGGGTAAGAACAGAATAACTAGAAGACTCAAACCTTCGTTCCCTCGTCCGAACTGGATAGTTAAAAGTTGGTACGAAACGCAATCACTCGACACGTAGTAGCTGCTACGACGGTTATTGCGTGTATGAACGTATGATCAATCATTCATTCATAGCCAAACAGATCGTCTGACGACAACATACACAAGACTGACGCGAGGGGGGAGAAGAGATCCCGTGCTATGGATGCAAAATGCACAGCTGGGCTGATGAAAGCTGGCCATGGCATGGGTGCATGGATGGTTGGGTTGAATGGACGGTTGAGATGCTGTGCTATGGGCGGACTGAATCAGGGCTGAAAAATGCACAGCTGGGCTGATGACAGCTGGCCATGAAACCTTCTGGATGCAAAGATGTGCTCGCCTCTTGATTCTTTCACTTCCTCCTACACTGTCGACTCTTTGGCTTCCTCCCCAGGTGTTGGCGTGACTGTGGCTGAATTTCTCAGGACTGCGTTCCCAGAGGCCAAAGCACTGCTAGACTTTTGTTTTCCGGGAAAGGCCTCTTTTTTAACTGAATCGGGGCATACTCAGGGCACACTCACTTTAGGACATATTTTCAAATGAATCTGGACGTAACTGCAGTCAGATCCATCCAGGTAGGAACTTAAACCACCAGTACTTGGGCGACGCCTTAGCGTTAACGCTACGCGATTTCCGCGGCCGGCGGGCCGTCGATAAATCGAATCGACAGCCCGCGCTGCTTGGAGATTTGGGCGGCCGGCGCGGCGCACAGTGCCCAAGTACTGGTGGTTTAAGTAACGTCCCATGAAGCTAAGAAAGTCCTAGTGTGAGTATGCTCTCAGACCCTCCTTTTCAACAGCTGAAGTCCGTCATGCACATGCATTTCGACCCAAGCCGGCGTTGGGGCTCAAGAGTGCTGCTTCGATTTGACCCCAACCTACCATCTTCACCTGAATAAAACGCTCGGTCATTATCGCTGCCTCTGGTCTCAAAGTTGTGCAAAATGCAGCTATAATGACAAGGCGTTCTATTTGGGTGAAGGTGGTAGTCAGGGCCATGTTCAATAGGGGTCTTGAAGGTCTCGGTCACTTGCAATGCATGTAATATATTTAACTTACAGAAATATTTTTGCTGTGGTTAGTTTGAGCTTTGCTTTTTCTTTTTTTTTGTAAATCCAAGTCTTCTCTTTTTTTTTGTTTTTTTTGTTTTTTGGTTAAACAATCTTAAACAATGTTCGACAATGTTAGATTATCTTTTGAGACTGCTACAAGCTATGGGAATTTGATCTGTGGCCAAGTTTGCAGTTGAGCCTTCTGTACCTCTTCACTCATCCTCTGAGCTCCTGATCTGTCGTGAACCCTCCTGGTACTTTGGCATGCTGGGATTTTGGGGGTTATAGCCTAAACCCCTAAGCCCTCGGCACCTTACAGTCTCTTTGACTCCAAGTGATGGTAAGTTAATCGAGTAAAAGCAAGTAGAAGCACCACACCCTTGTATTTGTGCTTTTCCTTTCCGGGCAAGTCCCATTTTAGCTCAGTAGCTGGGCCTGGGCATGACTTGTGTCTATACGCAATGGCGACAGGTGTTTAGGAGAGGTTTGAGCACTGATTGCAAGCTTTTGATCATTGTCTATGGCTACATGCAGGGTGGCAGCGACACTGAGGATACGACCGTGGTCCAAGAGCTGGACCATCTGATAGAGGACAAAGTCGCGGAAGTTGATGAAAGTGGCGAGGATCTATTCCAGTCTGAAAAACCACCTGCATACAAAAGGGGAAGCAACAAGAGGTCTTCGAAGAAGAAAAGGCATTGCACTGTAATGTGAGCTATATTCGAGTCTGGAAAACCACCAGCGCACAGAGGGAGCAGCGGGAATTAGTCTTCGAAGAAGCAGAGAGATTGTGCGGCAAGATGAAAATAAGGAACATTGAGGTGGGTGTGATTTCTGTGTCATAATTACGAAGCGTCCATCATTCATTACAAATTGAATGTGTTTGCAACCAGTCATGTGTGTGAGATTAGTTGTGTGAACTAGTTAGATAGATAGGAGTTTGTAGACCGCAAGTTTTATGTTAGAGGTGTGTGAAGTAAGTCCAGAGTTGTGAAGGAGGGAGGAAGAGGATGGCTACGACGAGAGGAATGGCTTCTCGGTTCATTGATTGTCCATTTGAGTGCATTCCTCATGCACCTTTCATTATGTATGACTGCGGAGGCCACACTCAACGTCCAGCTAGAGACTCAGTGCAAGGAAGAATGCTATAACATATATCGTCAATGTGTGATTCCACCTAGAAGTGTCTTCACCCACCGATACCAAAATTATGAAATTGATAAATTTTTGATGATGACTATAACATATCAACCTCAGACATAACTGCCCCCCCCCCCGCTCTTCACCTCTCTCTCTCTCTCTCTCTCTCTCTCTCTCTCTCTCTCTCTCTCTCTCTCTCTCTCTCTCTCTCTCTCTCTCTCTCTC